CTAATTCAAATGCATACAAAAGAATTTTAAACTCGTAACCATTTATGAATGGGGTTCATACAACATGTATATTCTCTTCCTCTCTGTGGACCGCAAAATAAATTCGGCGGCTAGAAAAACATCAGCAACCCTCAAACTGTTTTTTTTTTTTAATTTCAATATGTACAAGCAAGCTATTATACTGTACACTAGATTTTTTTACAAACAATAACCACACTTTTATCTAATATGAACAATTATAACTAACCGAGTCAAAAATATAAAGCTCTTCATTTTTGAGCGGCGACACCAACACCCGTGACCACGCGTGACATCAAAAGCGTCACACAATCTTGTAATCAATAAACTGACAGGAAGTAGTACCATTTGCGGATATTTTCCTGACCCCGGTTGTTCGAAGGCACCGGATAAATCGCTATCCAGTGGATCAGTGTTTACAAACCAAACCACGCTATCCACTGGTTAGTGATTTATCGGTGGATAGGGTTATCTACCTTTCGAACAACCCGGAGCCGTCACTATTACAGGCTGGGTAACAACAGAAATGGCTGCACTGATCAGGATAAGATACTAGCGATATAAGCAAATGGTACTATGATTTCCCAGTCATTCCGTTTAAAAGCGAAAAACTGTAACACCTCAAAAAGATTCTTTTTTTTTAGCAAAATCCTTCGTAGCAATTGTCAGATTTCGTTGCAAACACAAGACTGAGTCCATTGTGAATTCTATCATTATCTTCGTCTTGATTGACTCAGTGATGCGAAACGCAACAAAATCATATGAAAAATTGATCAAGAACTTCATTGCTTGAGTCCAACGCTCTTCGCAACAGAAGCCCATATTCTACACATAGTAAGTGCCTCTTTGGGGTTAAGGAATCTACATTCCAATTTTTTGCCACTTTTCGTTCCACTCGCTGCTTTTGTCTTTCCCTTTACATCTTTTGTTTTGACGTAATTCTTCACGCTAGTTTTTGTTTTGCCAGTTGCTCGTGAAGAACATCATGAAATAGTTTGTCAGTTTCTTGAATTGTTCTTAATGCGTTCAAGTCTTTTCTTGATGTCCAATATACTGTCTGGATCCGCAGATATCGAATCACCGGTATCCGTCGACTGTGAAATGACTGCGGGCTGAAAAAAAGGAAAGACGAACATGAAGCTTCCATCAACTTACAAACGAATACCATGAAGGAAAATGATACAAGATATATATATATAAAAACATGCCCTTAACTAAACATACACAAGCAATAGTGTGTTCATTGTCACGCAAAAAAAATAATAAAATCAAAAACCATTCAATGGATAAAGTCAAGAAATTGTGATATTACAGACGATAAGTATAGAAGACAGTTCTCCAAGTTTAAGGTGTGTGCGTTGTCCCAAAGTTGAGAAATTCGTCGAAATGTTCCGCGCAAAATTATAGAGTCTTGTATGGAGCCGCCATTTTGGATGACCTCCTTAGTCCTCCAATATGGCGGCCGGAAAATGGTGTAAACATCTAGAACTTACTTTGGCTATCAAGTCGACTGATTATCTGAACCGAACCAAAAAAACATCAACACAAGCACTTATCCTAATAATTTAACTCCTAAAATGACTAAAAATCACGAGATAAGTGTATATTTTTCGACAAACGCGATATTAGCTTTATGTCAGGCAGCGCCATAATTCCGAAATTCAAAATGCGCTGGTTTCCAAACGAAGTTGTAAACAGATATAAATTTAGTATTTCTTATGCCTGATGAGAATAAAACCTTTAGTGGCTCTTTAGTTTTGGATTTGAGAATTTGATGACGTCACGTGAACTTACTCTATATTCTTCTGATTCGACCCAAAAAACTCTACAATGATGACGCAGAACTACAACGATCCGTGCCCTTCCCTGATTGGATGCCATTTGCGCGCGAAAATTCAACCGAGGATCAACCAATCAGAGACACCACACTGATCTCTATGGACCTACCTATGTGATCAAAATGGAATTTTCTGAGTCGATTCTCTAACTTCTCTCCTGGGCACGGAAATGATCTGTTACGCTAGTAAAAACACATTGGTACTTACGATATTTGTGTAGGAAGGCCGTTTGTCTGCCTCTGAGAGCCTCTGATCGTCTAACGAAGGATCTCCTCCATACTCGGGAACGCGCTGGTCTGCCTTTTCCGTTTTCTAAATTGTAAATATTCAATAGAGGAAAGTAAAATATCCATAAATTTTGCGGAATACTGCGTATTGTAAAGAGATGTACACGAACCTTTGATTCAGTGTTGGCGCCGTTATCAAGGCCAGCTCTCATTCTAAGCACCTTTAGTCGGTCTCTGTACGAGTCGGCATCGTCTGCGAATGACAAAGGAAAAATCTCTTAGCAGGATTTCGAAAATCTCCAAAAGAAAAACGCAAAACTATTGATTTGATTTGGTAAAACGGTATTCGAAAAACGTCAGGAGCCTACTGAGAAGTGAATGTGACCAACGATGTCGAAGAAACAAAATGCGAAAACGAAAGACGTGTACCCTGCTAGCAGAGTCACTTTGATCCAGGCGACTCTGTTAGCAGGTAAAAGACGCGAAATTCGCAATTTCCATTCAGGTTAGGGTTTCCTTTGAAATTCAATTGCGAACCACTCTCTCATTCATCTTATGGATATTGTTTTGCAGGTAATATTCTTGAATCAATTTTATTTACCAGTGTTTTCCGCTGCTGTGGAATTCGCAGAGCTGACTGCTGCAGTCGATATCCCCGAGGAAGAACCGTTTCCTGCAAAACAAATAAATAAATAAATAATAAAAATAAATAATAATAATAATAATAACAATGATAACAATAATAATAATAAATAATAATAATAATAATAATAATAATAATAATGACAATAAATGAGACAGAATTACTCAGTTGTTATTAATAGGGGAACTTTTAGACTTAGTCATCGCCAAAAATGTCTTGACTTGAGGGCAGCTCCCTAAATTTCACCTCTGTACAATCCATTTAATTGCTCCATGCAACGGACCAGTTAGTCTATAAATCCCTTAAAACACAGTACCTGTTACTTTTCTTCCTTTTCTCTCCATCTCGATATTTTTTAATCCTCTCTCGATGTAACTCTGGAAAAACTCGGAAGTTCGTTTGAGAAATGGATCAATGTCAGCCTCGGGATATTTTTGTTTGAAGTCATAAAGCTCAGCTAAGCCCTGAAACGAGAGAAAAAAAAACGAACAACCTTATTTAATTTCAACAACGAGCAAAAGCTTCTCGTGAACTTAATCTGAATGAAGCAAAAAGCAAGTGACCTTGATCAAGATCTTAGTATCGATATCAAGTCGACATGTCTCCTTAAGGCGATCTGGTCCATTCCTAAACACTACCTAAATAGCTTAAGATGGTGCTCACAGTTAGTTTTATTACTAAAAAATAGCCTGATTCTGTACTTGTAATGGATTGGTTCTATCACTCGTTCGTTCGTTTGTTCCTTCGTTTGTTCGTTCTTTCGTTCGTTTGTTCTTTCGTCCCTCCGTCCGTTCGTTTTCAAAAACTATCGTCAATGTGGTTAACAATGTTCACAATACTCTTCACTCCTCACCTCTCTGGTGTTTTCTTTTGAGCCTATCTTAGCGAATATCTCCGCTAGCTTCTCATTGATCTTCTCTTTGTTTTGGAACTTGTTTCCGCCCTGTAACAGAACACAGTGAAAGAATTAAGTCCTTTCATTTCACATGATTCATTCCCTCGAAAAAACTCACAAGGCCTGTTTTGACTTTTCAAGGGGTTCTCGCGGTGGAGATATAATATGCCAAACTTAACTGATAATTCCTTGTAATATCACTGAGTTACATCAAGGTTGCCAGCATCAGTCAATTTAAGATGAAAACTTGAAAAGTTCAGGCCGTCTGTCTAAAATTCGGTTTGCCATATATTGCAACTATTATGAAAACCAACAAAGCTTTACGTATTTTCGTTACATTTGTTCTTGTCAATGCTACTTACATCAACCCCCACCAAGAGGTCTGGTACCGAGGCCCTACGTGGCGTCGTTGAGTCACTTCCGTTCACGTGATTCTCGGTGCCTCGGCGACCATTGCTCTTCAGAATTTTCTTCAAGTACGCGGCAACTTCGCTACTATCTGGATCATCTATCAACCCCAGACAATCTAAGATCTGCGATAAACAAAAACAGGGTCACATGACAGGCGTTACCAAAATCTCCCCTCTACCCCTCCAAACACAAACAAGACCCAAACCAAAGAAATCCCTCAATTCTCAGCCACAGAAATCCTTAATCTTCTGCGTTCGAGAACATCTGACGGGCTTAAAGAACGGTACTCAAATCAACCTGCTGAAAGTTCTACAACTGTTCTTTACCTTTTAGCCCTCAAGCAGCATAAAATATAGCAATTCTCTTTACTGAATACTATAGATTTCATTTAATATTAATTCTGAGAATTCAGTGTTAGATCAACAAATTTCACCTAGTTGATGATTTTCATTATTCTCATTACCCGCCTGATTGACAATGTATTGGTGGTATTGTGAGGAGAAATCAGATCTCGATCGTTTTTACTGACCTCTTGTTTCTTGAGTTTCCCTAGCGTGTACAGCACAGTCTTGATAGTTCTGAGCGGTGTATCATCAGCGCGGTTTTTCCACATCTGATCCGGGTGAGTCAACAGGAACGTGTGAATATCCAAAAGAATCTGATCCACTTTCACATCTGAGATGTTTTTAGGTAAACTGCGAACAACTTTCCAAAGACACTGGCGGAACAAAAAAAAGCTGTCATGAAGCATTATGTAGATGGTGTGAAATGAAAATCATATTAAGTTTAGTCAAATTCTTTAGAAATAGGTGGCATTTTGTGAGTCTAGATGTCACTTGTGGAGCCAAACAGAGGGACGCAGAAGAAGTTTACCTTCATAACGAGGTCAAGAAACTTGGGCGAGCTGAGCGACGTGCCGGTGGTCTCTTGAAGAAGCTTGAGACAGTCTTGTAGGAGTTTGATCAAGGAGCTGAAACAGCAACACAGTTTACAGTATTACAAGCCATGTCAACGCACAGCAACAATATTCAATAGTCAAAAGAAGCCAGTTTGCCCTCGTCCACACCTGCGCCCGCCTCAATCACTTTATCTTCCTAAAATTTAACAACACCTGGAGAACTGAACCCCCATCACAAAGGCGTGTCGTCATCTGAGAAACCCCAACTAAGATGATTTGCGTTTGTAGAAAAGTACAAATAACAAGAATTAGCAGGACGTGAGGATGACTAACGATGTAATGTTAAAAAAAAAAGGAAAAAAAAAAAACACGAATTGGAAAGACCGCTTTTCACCACATCTCCAAACACCGAGAAGAGAGTTCAAAAATCCGAGGCACAGCGGAGTATTTTTGACGAACCTCGAGGTGTTTGGAAATGTGGTTAAAGAAGTCTGGAGTGTTTGATATATCTTCTTCGAAGTTAAAACTAAGGAGAAAACGGAGAAATAAAATCGTAAGAATCTATGCTAATTAAGATCGGATATCCAAGCACCGTCACGGTCGTGATTTCCTTTGTTTAAAGTTAATGAATTTAATGCATTCGAGAATGCGAGGATCAGTGGATTGTCATTATATATGGTCTTTAGGAACATAAATGAACACAGCACAGCACCTGACTCACCCTAAAACATACGTCTGGTCAGACATCTCGATCACCTTGACCATCAAAATATTAATAGCTCTCAATATCTGTGGCCCATCCTCCAGAGCCGCCAAGCGATCATCTGACAACACCGTTATCAGCACCTGCATCACCTGCTTCAGTGAGCTGCGGGATACGGCGCGAGCGAGCGGAGGGCTGGAGAACACACCCAACATGGTGTCCGTCAGACAGTTGATGAGTCTCAGCACTGTCGCCTCTGGCTGCTGGCCGGATTCAATGTTAGGGATGTGTGTGGTGAGGATCATGTTCAGTTGAAGGGAGACGGCATTCAGAAACTGGTCGATGTGTTTACTGACTTCCTTGTGGTTTTTATTCCGTACTACTTTTTCAAACTGTACTAGGGCCTGGGTACTAGCCGTGACGTCACCGCTGGCTATCTGAGAGATGACGTAGTTGAAAGCCGCGGTCGGGTTTGTCCGGCTGAACACTCCCATATGAGGAGAGGCGGGGTTTCTGAGAAAACAAAATACAAAAAAACATACCAAGGTCATCGAAACTCAAAATGACTTCTCATTAATACACCATAACAAATTCAAATAGAAAGTCACAGGGCATAAAGCACAGATCAGCTCACAAAAAGACATATTTCACTTAATTCTTTTAATGAGAAATAAGACTCTTTCGCTTTGTGAGCCATTTGTTGGGATCGTCAAGAAACGGAAGAAAGACAAGGGCGAGGCAGAAAATTCATGAAAAATAACACAAATTTTGATGCTTTGTGTCCAGATATAACTCAACTTCTCCCAACCAGTTCCATACAAATGTATGAAGAACGGCTGGAGGAAACTGGATGTCGATACTCACTTGGTGTGAGGTTTGTGTACAGGTGCACTGATCAAGTCATCTAAAGCTTCATTAGTCTCCAGTGTCGGTACAGCCACTTCATGATGTAAATCATCTCCTTCAATGCCATCAATATCAAGACTGAACTCCCGCCGGATATTGTCAGACTGTCTTGGTGCGGGTGCTGTGACAGGCCTGTAGACAAAAATATGCTGGAAAGTAAAACTCTGAAGACACATGTTAGAGTATGAAGCGCCTGTACGTTAAGTAGCAGTTGATTGCAGTCTCAGTGCACGTTTCAATTTGCCACAACGTTCCGAAATGTTTCGGTTGGTATTCCAAACTTCACAACAAAAAAAAAGAAAGAAAGAAAAAAAACACGCGAACTGCGTCCTGCAATTTTCACGTAATCTTTACCTTTCTAGCTTCAACAGAATTAGAAGATTTCGACCGTAAAAAGGTGAGTTATATTAAAGTTACCTTGCCATCTGTGCCTTGCCGGGTCTTTTTTCCTCTCTTTTCTTGCCTCCATTGGCTGAAGAGTCACTCCCTCCGCGTGCACTGACGCTGGTCTTTGTTGTGTTTTCATTTGCAGGAGCGGTGTTCGGACGATTCTTTGAAGATCGTTTTATACGTTCCTCTAAATACGCAAGGTCCTTGTCAGACAGCTGTAAAGAGAATGAGAGAACTGACTTACTTATTTCAACTACAGGCAGTCCTCAAAATAATGCGGTGGGAATAATCACATTGAGGTCTGTGCAGAATGATTGAGAATCACAGAAAAATATCCTTATCTGACCTCCCAGTCAGTCAACAAGTCTTTGATCTCACAGCTTTAATATCTTCACCTTTGACTTGCTTTGGGGTAACTTTCTGAACAAATTGCATACCCCAGACAAGGCCTTTTCAGGGCCGTAAAAAGCCGTGTGCAGCCCATGTTTATGTCAGTCCGCGGACCAGCTTACTGACCTGTGAACAGTACTTGTAGCACGTTTTCTCTCCAATAAGAAAGTAAGCTTCCACCACAGCATTCAATGCGGCATTTCTCACTCCGTTATCTCTGTCGCCTATCTGAGCAGCGATGGCCGCCAGAGCCTTGGGAGGGGTGGGTTGGCACACGTTCATACCGTACACTTGGATCAGAGAACCAAGCTCTTCAAGGCATTCTTCAAAAACAAATTAACACAATAAAATAAAACACAAACCATTTAAGGAGACCGCAACTTGATTGTGCTGCTTACAATAATACAAGCTCAGGTAAACTACGAGTAGTCCCTCTTTCGCTTAGTCCGTCGTGCGTGACGCGAAAGAAATTCGCGAGAAAAAATTGACCGCACGAAATCCTGGGGGGCTAGGAGCCTCCAGGATTTCGCGCGGCCATTTTTTTCTCGCGGTTTTCTTTCGCGTCACGCACGAGGGACTAAGCGAAAGAGGGACTACTCGTAGTCTAAAGCTCAGGAAGATATCAAACCTTAAATGCCATAAATTACAACTCTTGAATTCGTTCCATTATTCTCTGCAAAATAAGATCTATAAAAAAACTACAACAAATAGCAAAGACGGAACTTACCCATTCTTGTCTTGGAGTTCTTGGACGTGATACCCTCCATGACATAGTTAAACAGTTTACTCGCAGGGTAAATCTTTGTGAGCAGTTTAAACAGATTACGAATCATCTTTCTCACAACATCCTTTGGATCGCCAACCTTTTAACGAAAATAACCACTGTATTAACAGCGAGTTCATAGAAAATGTCTTGAAAGTACTGTTTGATTCTACCTTACAATTTCCATACAAGTTAATATAAGAAAATCATCTATTTGAACTGCGGAGAAAGATATGAAGGCAGAAGACATGATTTATCATTGCAGTTTTACACACAACTTGAGAAGCTGTGAAATCAATCATTTTCCATGTAACTCACCTTTTGAACAAGATAAGGAATAAAACTGGAAGCTTCAAACTCTAACATTTGATAATCAGCCTGCGCTAACATGACGAATATAGCGTCCATGAGCTCCAGACATTTGATGAGTATTGTGGTGTTGGTATCAAAGAACCGTAAGGTGACCCACTTGAGGATCAGATCTAATGACTGGATCACTTCTGTTTGGTAAGGTGCGTCTGATGGCGGTACAGCACACTGTGAACAATGTCAACA